AGTTCCATCTCCGTTCAGTTTCTCTCAAGCGCTGAGATATTGCCTTCCCCCACAACAGCGTCTCACAGACACCCAGCTCTCCAGGCACGAGGGGCTGACTCCAGCCAGAGGGCAGTCAGGTCCAGCCCGCCCGCCTCACTGCAGCTCTGACAGTTGCTTTCAGGCGTCTTCTACTGCTACTATTAATTTCTCCACTTTACATCATGACTGCAGCCCCTTCCTCTCCTCCACGCTCCCCCGTCACACGCCCTTCCTCCCCATTCTCCCCTCTCCTCCTCCGAGAAGGGGAGGTCCCCATGGGTACCAAGCCACCCTGGCACATTAAGTCTCTGCCGGACGAGGCGCATCCTCCCCACTGAAGGCAGACATGGTAGCCCAGTTAGGGGAAGCATCAGCGTCAGAGAGGCCCTGCTCCAGTTGTTAGAGACCCATGTAGGACCAAGCTGTGCTTCTGTTACGTATGTGCAGGGGGCTAGGACCAGTCCATGCCTGCTCTTTGGTTGGTGGTTTAGTCTCTGTGAGCCCCCATGGGCCCAGGTTAGTTGACTCTGTAGGTCTTCTTGTGGAGTCCTCGACCATTCCAGCTCCTTCAATCCTTCCCCCAACTCTTCCATAGAACACCCTGAGCTCTGTCTAACGTTTGGCTGTGGGCCTCTGCATCTCTTTCCCTCAGCTGCTGGGTGAAGCCTCTCAGAGGAGTTATACTAGGTTCCTGCCTACAAGCACAGCAGAGTAACGCTAAGTGTCAGGGATTGGTTCTCGTCCATGGGACGGGTCTCGAGTAGGGCCAGTCTTTGTTTGGCCATTCCCTCAATCTTTGCTCCATCTGTCCCTGCTCATCTTGTAGACAGGACAAATTCTGGGTGGGAGGTTTAGTGGGTGTGTTGGTGCTCCCCTCCCTCCCTTGGAAGTCCTGCCTTGATCCAGGAGGTGGTGACTTCAGGCTCGATGTCCCTGCTGCTGGGAGTCTCACAGACTTCCTGGGTCCTCCCCTATCCCAGGTCTCTGGAAAATCCTTGTTCTAGAAAGAAAGAATAACAAAGAGGTGGGGCTCTCTACACCTGAAAATTCAAATCTCATGCTTTCCTCATTTTTGGATTCTGGCTTTAGAAACATTCTGAATAAAACTAGTTCATCTGAGCCTTTGTATGTACTGTCGGTGAAAACCATTGAGGGACACCTTGACTTGAAGGGTAAAAAGGGTTTAGCTTTTTTTTCCCTTTGAAGCCTGCGTGTGTGTGTGTGTGTGTGTGTGTGTGTGTTGCACACAGAAACCAGGGCCGGATGCCGGATGTCCTCTTCTGTGCTGTGTTACTGCTCTGAGACAGGTTCTCTCACTGAATCGGGAGCTTAGCTTACTCTTCTGCCAGGCTAGCTGACTGGTGGGTTCTTGGGGTCCACCTGTGACCGCCCACTGGTGCTGGGGTTTCAAGACTTTTTATGCGGGTTCTGGGCATTCAGACTCATGTCCTCACGCTTGTAGCCCAAGGCTCTTGCCCACTCAGCCATCATTCCAGCCCGGGTTTTTACAAATTTAATCGTAAAAGCAGTTTCTCTGGTCTTTGCTATACTTCCCAAATTACCATGAATTTTCTTGTATGGGTTTCCCCGAAAGAATGCCACAGTCCTGTGATTTAGATTTATTTAAAAAAAAAAAAAAAAAGAAAAAGAGCTTTGGTCTGTGACCTTTCTCTGACCTCTTTCCTCTCTGTGTCTGTTGGGTCTTTGTGAAGCACCCCGGGAATATTAATGGCTGACATAATACGAGCTGGTGTGTCTGTAAGCTGCAGCGTTCTGGAGGCTGCGCCGGCTCAGTGGGGCAGGGGCGCATGCATCATTCATGAGGAGTCCACGTGCTGACGGTCTCACATGGTTCTTTTTCCACAGTCATGCCCTGCAGCATCTGACCTGAGCACAACCCAGCCCGGGCTCTGCAAACCCATCTTGCTGAGGCTTCCCACCAGGAAGCAGGGAGAAGGAAAGGCAGCTTCCTTCCCCAGGGAGGCAGCGGTCAGGAGAAAAAGCTCAGGGTGCTGTCGCAATTGTCTGTATATCAAAGCAGGGAATTTCCCAAAGCTGAATACAGAGAAAATGCAGCAGCGTTTGTAGGTACGAATTTACCCTGCAGGCACCTGAGTGACAAATGTCAGCATGTTATCACTTAGGAGCAAGTCATGAGCATCTACGTATGTTTATAATCCACCAGAACCCCGGAGCAGTAGGGTAAATTCTAAGTGATTACAAGTCTTGGCTTATGGTCTTGGATTCAAGAGCTTAGAGCTTAGCCTTCCTCCTCCTCATCCACCATCTTCCTTCCCTCCTTCCCTTCCTCCTCTTCCTCTTCTTCTCTTTCTACTTTTGGATTTTGAGATTAGACATCACTCTGTAGTCCAGGCTGGCCTGGAACTTGTGATTCTCCTGTCTCAACCTCCTCGGTATAGGAGTTCTGTATGTGAGTCACCATGCCTTGTTCATTCCCTGTGTTGAAATCTTATAAGCCTGGTTGTCAGGAAAAGCTCAGGGTAGGCGTGGGGAGCAGTGATGGGGAGAAGGCTCAGAGGTTAAGAGTACTGGCTGCTTTTTTACAGGACTTGGGTTCAATTCCCAGACACCACATGGTGGTTCCCAACTATCTGATTCCCTCTTCTGACATTTGCAGGCACCAAGCATGCATGTGGTGCACATACATACCTGTAGGCAAAACACGCAAAATAAGAGGAAAAAGTCTAGTAATTTAAAGAAAGAAAGAAAAGTTAAGCAAGCAAGAAGGCAAACGAGGCTACCTGACTTCAGCTGCTGTAGGAGCTGGAGTCATGCCAGGCTGGGGCTTCCAGGGTCCTGACACGTGGTACTGGAGCTCACTAAATGCTAGTGTTGGAAATGGGATCCGGGCTAGAATGTCCTAGGGCTTGATGTTGGGCTCAGTTCTGCCTTTCTGCCTGTCTCTGAATTCTGGCAACCCCCCCCCCCCCGAGCATGCTCCCAGAAGAGCTGGAGGCAATGTGTTGGCAGAGTATTTATTACTGTGCCTCGGGTTCTTCCATGTGGCTCTGGGCTCAGTGAGCTGCGAATGTCTGCATCCCACTGTCTCTATCTTTCTCCTGTCTTCTCTAGAACCCTCTATTTCTTCCACCCACACTGCCAATTCTGGTCCCATCTCCCCTCCAATTCAGCCTGGGCCTGGCCTGCTGTGTTTGCAGATCAGTATAGCCTGTGTGCATGGAACTTGATTTCCAGGTTTCATTTCCCCATCACATTTTAGGCCCAGCTTTTGGAATTGAAATTCTCAACTCAGACAAAACCCATACCTCTGATAGGTGCACAGTATTTATGACAGGATTCCATGATGCACTTCTGCTAGGGTAAGAAAGCAAAAAGATGGGCTTGTGTCTGCATCACTGAGTTTCAAGCAGACAATTCTTATCTGTATCTGTCTATTGGTCTATTTCTGTTCTGTAACATCTCTGTTTTCTTAAATTGCTCCTGTTTAGCGTGTTGTACCAAAGAAGTCAACAGCATCTGCCCTCCTTCCCTCCCTCCCTCTTTCCATTCCTTCTTCCCTCCTTCCCTCCCTTCTTCCCTCCCTCCCTCCCTCCCCTAAACATTCCCTGATTTGGAGATGTATTGTAAAACTATCTCTACCCTGTATTTGGAGTGGCGCCTATCTAAGCTTCTTTAAAAATACAGACAAGATGATGGATTACGAGGCAAATGTTTTTCACTATAGCACAATAAAAAGAATGGTGAGAAGGAAAATCCAGCTAAAATCTCAAGTTTTAGAAATGATGCTTCAAAGAGTATTTTTTAAAAAAAATTCTTTCCCTGTAGTGCAAACTAGAATGTTTTAAAAATCATATATCAAGCAATGTTTTGGAAAGCTTGAAGGAAATGTGATACACGATTTACATTTTATGTGCTCAATCCTTGCTCAATGAAATAAACATGGGCAAGCTAAAAATACCCAAGGGAAACACGCACACACACGGCATACATCACATGCCTCTCATGCTTTTGAAACCTTCTTTTCTTTTTCTCACCTTGCTCTGTGTTACTGGGTGGAATGCATCTTCCACAATGAGGTGTGAATGAGAAGGCTGATAATACCGGGAAGGGGCTGGCAGCGGTTGTTCATCCTAAAATCGCGCAGCCATGTTTAGATACTAGCGAAAGCTTCCAAGGAGCTGGGAGGAAAATGTCTCAGCTTTGTAACATCAGCTCTCTTTCCCTGAGCAGGATCACTTGAGCTATTCTAAGCATCACACGCCATCAGGGTGCATTGTTGGTACGGGACTACCCTCGCCAGGAAGAGGCAGCGCACAAATGTAGCTGACAGAGTCTGCCCTGCGGGCGCACATACTGTGTGCTCAAGACAGACCATCTACTCGGCTCATAGCATTCACATCTTCTAGAGACATTATTTCTGACATACACTAAGCGTTGACCGACTTTCTCCTTCCCACTGTCTAACAGAGGGCGCAGGTTGGAGGAGAGGCAATGGAAACTCGACCACAACCGTATGGCTCCAGGACTGAAAGAGAAAGGATGACATAATCCTAGAGTAGGGGAATTCTACCAAGCAACAACAGGCAGCTGAGGGATCTTAGAAGTCAAATGTCTTTCAGTAATCAAGTCAGATTTTATAGGAAGTAATGAGGAAAAAGTAAGTGGCCAAGATTAAAGACACTTTGACAATGGAGGCAAGTGACCATCTGAATTCCGCTCCAGCCTAGTCTACACAATGAGTTATAGGTAAGGCAGGGCTACATAATGAGATCCTGTCAAAACTTTTCAGAAAAAGAAAATTTAAAAAGAGCTCACCCTGAAAGCATCATTGGACCCCAGGATGAGGGAAATCTCCCAGCCGTAACACCTGGCTGCTCTGAGGGACAGTAATTTATAACCAGTTGTGTGCCTTTGACAGTCCACCCACTCACACATTTGCATATCTTAAGACCCACAGAGCACAAAGACATCAAAACAAAACCCGTTCTCCATGACTGTAGAATGATATGTGATTTATTCATATACTGACAATTAGGCAGTACTCAAAATTCATTTAAATAAGCAAGTGATTACACAAACATCTAATAATACTAAAATCGATAGTCCCAAAGTATAAAATACCATGGGTATGAAATACCATGGTAAATACTATTCAGCAGGCTACAGTCATAATTCCAAACTAAGTCATTTTTAAGAAGATGATTCTTAGCAGTTTGAGGATGATTTTGTTTTTCTTCTTCCAAGCAACTTCTTCCAGTGATATAAGGATGCTAATTTTAAGAATCATTGCATGGTATCATTGCTTAGGTTCCTGTGTTGTAACACGTTTCCTTGCAAAAAGAAATTAAATTATTGCCCCTCAACATAGAAAACAAACCAGTGAGCACTTAGTCCCCTAAGCAAGGAGGCTCAGATCTGGGGAGTGCTAAGGACTAATTCTGGGTTCAGCAGGAGGCAGGCAGTGAGGAAACCCTTTGCAGCCTTGGAAAGATATGGCTTCTTTTCTGGGGCTCCAAGCATCATACACATATTTAGACATCCAAGCCATGAAGTGATGGGAATAAAATAATTTTCTATCCCGATGACTGCGATACAGTTGCCACTGTGGTTAAGTTAGGCTATAGTTCTGCAGGATTTCACACAAGGATGGCTCCTAGTTAAGCTAATTTCTTATAGCCTCATTACATTTTGGTGAAGTGCAGCTCTATGTGCAGGAGGAGTTTGGCTTATCATGTGTCTGTGTTATTTTTAAAGTCTTACACTTTACCAGAATGAGGTCCAAGCATGAACCCAGCTTGAGAAGCTAGCAGCAGCAGTCTTTGAGAAACATCTCAATAAATATGAACACAGAATGAGATTCAGTTAAATCTCTTACATACAAATTACAGCTAGAGAATTATTACACATTCTTAGTATTGAATGATGGGGGGCGGGGAGAAAATAAATCTAAAAAAATAGAAAAGTTTCTTCAAACCCGGGCGTCAAGGACAGATGCTAACAGTGCACAATGCCACAGTATAAGCAGTCCCTGGAGGGTAGACACTCCAGAAGTAGTGGTATTTATGGGGGGAGGGGAATCTTGGAATTATGACCAAGAGATGAAAATACTGTACCAAAATGCATGCATATATATATATACATATACATACATATATATGTATATATAATCACTATGTGCATTAGGTGTATGAGCTGTCACCTAAGCAGAGACCTAAGACGACAATGAGGCAGTGTTCTGGGGTATCCATTGAAACCAATGCGGGCACTACATGTTGATTAAACCTTCAGATGCAGCAAAATGTGGGCACAACGCCATGTTGGGGTTCTGCAGCTGCTTTAGGATCCTCTTGCGGAATTTCTCCCGCACGCGATTAAATTCCATTATGTCCATGGGGTCCTCCTCAATCCAAAACTTGTGAAACTCGTGCATCAAATAGCCTGTTAGGGACAAGACAGTGATGAGACAGCAAGATAACAGCCCTTAGTCACATTCCAAACCTCTGTGGGTGCGTGAGACCAAAAAAAACAGTCTCTATGGAGTTCCCAGGAAACACCAAGATTTCGTATGACCAGTGGAGGGGAAGCTGCCAAGCTGCCTGTTTCATTTTCTGCTTTTTGTGGCTAGTATTAGAGAAAATTTCAGTTCCACAAAGCAGGAGAGCAAAGCAGTTCTGTCACCTCTTGAACATGAATCCCACGGGAGCATGTTCTTTTTTATTTTTATTTTTTTAATGTTTATGAGTGTTTGCCTGTGCTGTATGTCTGTGCATCGCACTGTGTGGTGTCCCTTGGAGGCCAGAAGAGGGCGTTGGATTGCCTGGAACTGGAGTAACTGTTGTGACCTGCTATGTGGGTGCTGGAAATTGAGTTTCGATCCTCTGGAAGAGCAGGCAGAGCTCTTAACTAGTGGTCCATCTCTCTAGCTCAACTTCGACTTTTTGTTTTCCTTCCTTCTTTCTTCTTCCTCACCCCAGTCTCTCTTTCCTTCTCTCTCCTTTTGAGGCAAGGTCTCTTTATGTAGCCCTGGCTGTTGTGGAACTTGCTCTGTAGACCAGGCTGGCCTCAACTCATAGAGATCCACCTGCCTCAGCCTCCCAAGTGCTGGGATTAAAGGTGTGTGCCACCAGGCTTTTATTTTCAAATATTTCAACAATATTTCCAAATACATAAAATTACATTTACCTGTGTGTGTATGTCCAGGTATGTGGGTGTGGGTGCACTCGTGTGCGTGCTTATGGAGCCCAGGGGATAACATTAGGTGTGTTCTCTCCACCCTGTAACTAAGGCAGAGCCTCTCCTTGACCCCACAGCTTGCCACTTCAGTTAGCGTAGCTAGCTTCTTCTGGAGACTCCACCCTCTATGTCTCCTGATCACTGGGACTGCGGACCGGCCACCATGCCTGTGTGGTATTTATATGGGTTCTGAACTCTGCTCCTTATTCTTTACCCAATAAGCCATCTCTTCAAACCCCTGAAACGTATGCTCAAAGGACTGACAGTGACTCCTTCATCTTTCCCATCCCACCTATATTGACACAATGGTCCAGTCTTTCCAAATTACTCCACTCTGCTTTTCTTCCTCTTGATATTGAATTTAACTGATGTTTTAAATTACCCAGACATATCAAACAAATGTATTGATTATAATGTATCTAAGTCAGTAAGAATTGTAAATCAAGTCTGATTACACACTCATCATCAAGTTGCATGAAATTGCGAATAATACTTCCTTCCAAAGCACAATGACATATTCAAATGCTTTTGTCTTTCAAAGTATTTTTTTTTATCAATGAACACTCCAAAATGGAAACATTTTTCTTTTCTTTTTTTTTTAAGAATAAACGTTAAGTATTTGAAGCAAAAATCTGTTTATAGTTTCTTATTTTCCTATTTTGTTCCTTTTTTCCATCATATTGAATGTTTTTTTAATTTATTTTCATTTTTTATTTTATATTATTTCATATTGAATGTTTTTACACACATCTAAAATAATTAAAATGTGATACTTCCTTTAAAAGGCAGTATTATATGTTTGTATGTAGAAAACCCAAATATAACTGCAGGCCTCTCTAAAAATTAGAAAAAAACATAAGAAAATAATCCAAGTTTTTAAAAAAGAAAAAGTGAATGCTATAAGGCGTTCTTTGGTTTTAACTTTAGTCCTGGAGAGGACTCTCGTTGGAATCTCAGTTCTTTTACTTTCACCTATAAAGGGAAACCAGGAGGAAGGAGCAGGAGAAGAAATGGGGGGGGGGTGCATAGGAAAAGAATACAGAGCAAGAATAACAAAGGAAAACCAAAAGCGTTCCCTCTGTAACTAACGATGCACGGAAATACTGTCAGCCTAATCCTCTGAACAGCTTTAAAACATGATCTATTCATACCTCACTACACAGTATTTGAGGTGTCGCTCCCCAGTATACACTGTGGTAGTGGCCCATTCACATGGACTCACCCTCTTATCCTCTCCCTGTGTGCTAAGGCATGCTCACACAGCTAAGAACTGTCTCTCAAGCGTAGGAGAAAAGGCTGAGGGAACAATTAGTTCACATTTATTTGGGGTTGTCTATTCTGCTCCATTTCTTTTCCTTTTTCTTTCTTTTGACAAGGTCACTTGCAGCCCAGTCTGGCCTTGAACTCCCTGTGTTGCCGAGGACCTTGGACTCTTGCCCTCCTGTCTCCATCTCCCCAGTGCATTACCACACCTGGTTTATGTAGTGAGTACTGAGAATCGAATCTAGGGCCTGTGTGTGCTAGGAGAGAGTTCTACCAGGACAACTTCATCCACAGCCCTATTCCATTTCTTTCAGGACAACGGGCAAAACTGCTTTTTAACATTTCTTCTGGAGGCATTCATTCCCCTTACCAGGCTGGTCTTGAGGACACACAAAAGCTGACTACTAGGTAAACCGGAAATCGACTCCACCATCACGCCAGTTGTCTTATCTGTTTCCACTCATCTGACCTTTGGATTCCCTGAGGGGACCTATGGCTGCTTCCAGGCTTAGGCAGCTCTAGGAACAACACTGACAGTTACATAGATGAGGGAAGGATTTGGTTTTTGTTTTGTCTTTTTAAAAGGCCTTTGTATGTAGCTCTGGCTAGGCTTCAATTTTGTAATCCTCCTGCTGATTCATCCCACGATTCTTAGAAGGTTCTTGGGCCAAGAGCTGTTGGCCTGCACTTCATGGAAAAAAAAAAATCTAGTCCTTCTCTGACACTTGCAGTCTGCTTTGTACCCAGCACTCATCTCTCTTCAGGTTAAACATCTGGCCTCTCCATCCTAGCTCAAGCGCAGTGAGTGGTAGAGCCTCGTTGTCCTGGTTGTTCCAAACATGCCAGGCACATTCTTTCTTCTGATCCCTGCGCCTTGTTCACCAACAAGAACTCAATCCTTTGTTCGTCTCAGTGAGTGGAAAAGGTCCTAAGATATCTCAGGAATAGCCTGGGGTAAAATCTCAGGAGTAGCCTGGGGTATTATCTCAGGAGTAGCCTGGGGTAATATGTTAAACATGAAGATCCACCCAGATTCAGCCAGATAAATCACACATCACTGAAGTTTAAAACCTAAGGTCTAGAAGACTCCATCCTTATACATCGTTTCAGGCTTCATTCGAGGGATGTTTCAATTGACATGGTTATAAGAGAAATGAATGAGAATTCATAATTTCTTCTTTTCTTAATGTATAGAATGCACACATACTTTTTCCAACTGGTCTTTGAGCTCAAATAAATACACTTGAGCTGTTTTTGCTAGGAGAGTCAGGTTTCTTCCCCCCCTTTTCCTTGTTTATTCTTCTCTCTTATATTACATCACAACTGCAGTCTCCCCTCCCTCCTTTTCTCCCGTTCTTCCTGGACCTTCCCCTTTCCCCGTATCCACCCCTCCTGTTTCCCTTCACAAAAGAGCAGGCCTCCCAGGGATATCAACCCAACAGGGCATAACAAGTTACAATAAGATTAGGCACAAGCCCTCCTAGCAAGGCTGGATGAGGCAATCCAGGAGGAGGAAAATGGTCCCCAGACAAAGGACTCAGAGACAACCCCTACTCCTATTTGTTAGGAGTCCCGCAATAACACTAAGCTATACAACCACAACACGTATGAGGGGGCCTGGTGCTGACCCATACAGCTCCCTGATTGTAGGTTCAATCTCCGTGAACCCCTATGAGCCCTGCTTAGTAGATTCTGCAGGCCATTTTCGTGTGGTGTCCTTGATCCCTCTGCCTCCTACAATCCTTTTCCCCCTCTTTCAAAGGATTCCCTGAGCTCTGTCTACCTAATGTTTGGCTGTGGGGGACAGTCAGATTTCTAATATTATAAATTAAAATCACCTATGATGCATCCATCTCATTAGGATGCTCCTGTAGACAGTGATAAAACAGGTTCAGTGAAAACCATTTTTTAAAATTTGATTTTTGATCATATGTGTTTCTATGGTACAATGTGATAATTTGATGCTTGGGCATGATGTGGGCTATCAAATCAGATTATGTGGCATCTCTATCTCCTTTTAGTGAATAGTTTATTTTTCTGTAACACACGTAAAGATGCTCACTCTTCTACAACATGCAGACCCCCTGGCATCTCTCCCTTACGGGGACGTAATAATCAATAGTTATAGAAGAGCTCAGACACAGTTGTTTCCCTCATTTTTTCTGTTGGACATATAATTATGGAAGGCCATGTCGGAGAGCGATGGTGTTTCACAATCTGGCTCCATTTTCATATTACTTCCACTCTAAGTACAAATGTAAACAGTAAATCCTGTAGACAGATTCCCAGAGACTCTCCATGTCTTATCAGGAAAACTGATAGAGTCTATCTAACATGATTGCAACAGAAATACAGAAATAGGTGACCTGGCTTCCAAAGTACATATTACAATCATAGAACTCCACTCACGTATGTGTTATTACACAGCATTCAAAAATTCATTTGGCCAGTTGTCTGATCACGCCATCTACCAATTTCGTATGTAACAGATACACTAGTGGGCCCTGAGGATGAAGAAAAGGGTAGCGTTCTCATGTTCCCCGATTCTCTGTCTCTTGAAGGGAGAGAGATGGGTATTCAGTTTCTGGCAATGATTGTTAGCTGGGAACGCTGACAGTGCAGTGTGGGAAGAGGAGGGAGAAAACAGCTCAATCTGCTGCTTCTGGTTTTCAGTTTCATTCATTCCCCAATGCCACAGGCTGTCCGAGCAGACTTATCTCTCTCCCTCTTACAGATGTGGACACTGGGCTCAGCCAGGAAGCTCCAACAGTGTGCAAACAGCTGGAAGCCAGGGCTGAACCAGGCTGTCACCCCATCCAAGCTACAGGCTGCCTCTCCCAGTCATTCTCTTCCTCTGGTGCTCATTTCTGTGTAATAGTTGCTTCTCTCGAAGGTCAAAGAAAAGATAATCCCTCCGTCTTCTGCGCGTGTCCTTTCCCTGATCACTGCACCTAACCGCACCCCATTCCGTTCGGTCTGTGTGTTCACTGGAGCTGTAGATTGGATGTCATTTTCACAACACAGTGCCTTGGCAGCACGGCATCCACCAGGACCGTAAAGCCAGGACGACGGAGCCATTATGTTCCTATTTCCTTTCCTCTAGATGAAATACTTGCTTTGAATACTAATTTGGCTTTGCCATCTAAAGCCTGCTGCATATTTATTGCTGCTTAAATGTGTCTTGGTTTTGCTTCACTGCATCCTGTTAGGAGAAAGCAGGGGCATGTGCAGGGACACAGATAATTGCAATAATATTACAGAGGAGATGTGCAGAGGCGGCCATGTCCAGTGGAAGGACAGTGAATCCAGTTTGCCTCTTCTAAAGATGCCTGGTCTCTCTGTCCATAACCCAGTCAGCTAGAGGATTGCTGCTCTTTCTAAAACTGGAAGAGTGTCCTGGGAAATAAGATCCTGCCTCATGCTTCCTTATCTGCACTAGGATTCTTTTGAAAAGCCTATTAGTTGGGTAATGCCAAAACATTACCACATCAGCTACATCCTGTTTTCCCCTGAAAAAAAAAAATATATCATTTAACATTGTAGAATCTTATCTGCCTGTCAGTTCATCCATTTGTCCATCCATCCATCTGCCCACCCATTCATCCAATATATAGTTACTAAACACGCTCTGAGCATATAGCCATGAACAAAGCATCTACTCCTACCCTACTCCTACATGCCAATTATTGCTGGCTTTAACTCTGGTTCTTTCCTGGAGATGTCAGTTGCTGTGTGATTCTGATTTTTAACTCCAAGCAGATGAGTTAAAAGTCTGTAGGCAGATCCCCTCTAACACATCAGGGATCTATGGCTTCTCATAGGAATGTCCATTTTGTGCCTCTGAATAGACCTCTCCAAAGAAACTTACCTTCAGTTCACCTCAAATTAAACTCATTCTATTTTCACTTACAAGAGCTTCTGTGATTTGTCTAAGATGGAAATTCTAGGACAGGGCAACTTTTAAAGGGTTAATGAAACACAGTGCATGAGATTTTGTTAGTAGTTATGCTCATGCTCTCCAACAGGGCTCAAAGCTCTTCAGGGTCCATTCCAAATTCTCCTACATTTCCCATACACAGCTAATCACACCCTCTTCAGTTTCCTATCTAATAACACCCTCTAGGGTATCACAGCTGATCACAGCCTCTTCTTTTTGTATCTGATCACACCCTCCTCAGTTTCATGTCTAATCATACCCTCGCTGTTGTAGTGCTTGGAGCTGCTGTACTCTCCTGTTTTATGGCCTGTGTCCTTGCCACTTCTCCTTCTCTGGCTGGGCAACTCAGTCGCCATTGCTTTACTTTCCACCACTCATCCTTTGGTTTTCCCGGAAAGCAGCATTTGCTTTAGGGAGCTCTCTCTGCCTTTCAGACTGAGTGGGCAAGGCCAGCAATGGACCTTTGCGATGTTTTAAAGCAGTATCTTTACTTCCTGGTATGTTGTACTTATTTGTTTAGATGCTAGTATTCCTCAACATAGACCCTCATATACAGTAAAATCTTGGTTAATATTTGTTGGAGATTGAGTTGCTACAGGAGTGAACACAATCACCCAATGGTCAAAACAAGAGATATAAAATGTCACATGAGGGATTTATACTTCCGCTAACAGGTACTTGCTTTATAAAGCAAATTCATCTTTAAACACCTTTTCATTCTTATCAGTTGTACATGCATTGTTCAGCATCAAACAGTTTCGTATGTTTTGGTAAGAAAACAAAGCACCGTGAAAGACGGTGCCCTCCCCTACCTAACCCTTGCTCTAGAGTTGCTTTGGCTGATTCGTCCAGCAGCCCCACACAAGCTGCGTTCCAGTTTTGGACTGTTTTTTAAACCCCTGTTTACAGAGGATAAGCTCCTGTTCAGGGGCCCAGCCACACCCAATTTCTTACTGCTTTTTTAATCCAGTACCAACTGCCTACTTTGCTCATTTACTTGGTTTTCCATTTAAATCAACCACAAACCACTTTCCCTAAGGATGTCAAACGTATCCTAGATGTGTCTGAACATGATTGATGTTCGCTCAGTTTTAGAGCTTTGTCAAAATCCAGATCTGTCCTTCTCAGCCTATTGTGTGGGACCCACCTTGGAACGGCCCCTTTCCGTCACCTGAAGAACCCCTTTACTCTCCTCCTGGAAAGATTTCCTACTGTCTGGGTTAATTAAGTCTTCCTAGAATTACTCTTTGATTTTGTGAAAATATTATATGTTTCAAGAGATTCCTGATCAAGTTATGGGGAAGTAAAATATTTAAGACCTTGCATTCATTAAGGAAAGTCTGCTCTATTTTGATATCCAGTACTCAGTTGGTAGGTGAGACTGGGAATATAATTTGCAATTGTAAATCATATTCCCTTTGGGCCATCTTCAGATTTTGTAGTTATCATTCCAACATGTTTTAGAACAATGTCATTCTTGAGAAGTCTAGTGTAGTCTTGGTTCCAAAGTTTTTGAGCGACAGTTTCAGAAGATTTCAGAATCATGTCTTTACAACCTCATGCTAGCTCACAGTGACATAGACTTTCATTTATTATGTTGGTTTGGTAGATCTTACTCTATTATGTTGGCATTTAGAGTTTAAAATATGAAAAAAAAATTAAAAAAAAAAGAATTTAAAATATGAAAACCTATCTATCAGACCTAAAGTTTTACTATGTCTGTCTGTCTATTTATCGTGTGTGTGTGTGTGTGCATGTATGTGAGACAATGCATTTGTGAGAGGTCAGAGGACAACTTGTAAGAGTTGGTTCTTGCCTTCTGTCATGTGGGTCTTGGGGATCAAACTCAGATTGTCAGCCTTAGTGGAAAGTGTCTTCACCCACAAAGCCATCTTGCTGGTCTGATTTTTTTCTTGAGTAATTTCTTTGTTTTCTTTCCCTTAGTTTCCCCTTCTTCAGAGAGGAGACTCCTTACAATGGCCCTTCCATGCTTCAGTCTTTTTTATTTTATTTTTCCCTTTTCCTTTTCATCAATACTTTTTTGATCTACTTTCTGGGCAAGTCTTTCAACACTCCTTTCTAATCTTCTCGTGAATTTTATCTCTGTCAAAACATAGAACCTGGCAGTCAACTCAGGCTTTCTTTAGAGTTGCATTCTTCAGTGTTAAGTCGTGCTAGATCAGAGGGAGACAGACAAAAGTCAGACCTGAAGTTGACACATTGCAAATCATCTAAGAGCTGAGAAAAAGAAAAATCTGTGATGCCCAGAAATATAAGCATAGGTGTGTAAATGAGGAAACAAACAAAGAAGTCAAATGCAAACAAGCTTCCTGCATGAAGTACCTTCATCACAATGACCTCTCATTTGACCCTTCTCTGGCATGCTCTACAGAAACCCACACTGATAAACAGCAGGACACTCACAGAACGTTTGTTGGAAGTGAGTCAGCGTTGGCGCTTCGGGGGCGATGTTGTAGAAGTGTGTTTTCAGGGCACCACTCACGAGCAGATTATATGCCAGATCAGTGATGTTGATGCCCACGATTGCAAAGGAGTACCTGCAAGTGGAAATCACAAACCCACAGTGTTGCAATGTGGGAAATAAGCACTTCAGGAGCTGATAACCTCAGCTCTCAAGTCCTGTCAGATCACCAGAGCGGCACGCTGCCCACACATCTCCCCCAAATCAAAGCCTTACCCTTTAAATCTACCACAGAGTTTCAGGAGCGTGTGCCAAGGAAACTGCGAGTTTACATGCCTCGACTTGGTAACTCCACTTCCAAACATCTGGTCAGTCAGTGTCTAAAGTTGACAACGCTTTATATGTAAGAATATTTATTGCAGGATTATTTATCATAGTGAGACAGGGAAACCACTCAAGTATGCTAAAGAGATTCCTAGGGAAATCATGGTAAATTTTGGTGCTAACTAAATTATGGCGATTTTACAGCTAACTAAAATTGCATTCCTAGAGATTTTAAAGCAAGATGCACGCTGAGATTTAGGGTGGGTGCAGACGTGTGCATGAAGAAACAGCCCCGATACAAAGCTCTGAGTGGTCACTACGGGCGTGAACAGGTGACGGGTTGGGCTGAGTTCTGCTCAGCGTTTCTGTGGTTTTTCTAAATTTAAATTTTTACGTGAGAAGAAAATATTAAGTTACCAGTACAAAGTATATTTTATCTACTTTTTCTACAGAAAGGGAAACAGAACGCTCAAATTCTCTATGTTGTTATGAATCCAGCATAGAAATGTTTTTAATGAAACAGGCCATTAATAACATTTGTTAATCTGTTTATCTGTGTGTGTGCATGTGCGATCCTGTGCCTCGGCATGTGTGTGTCGAGGTCAGGAGAGATTTTGAGCATTCTTTCCTTCTACGTATAGGTTCCAGGGCTCGAACTCCGATCACCAGTTAGACCTGAGATCTTTTGGAGCTTAGTTAGATGGTTCCGAGTCACCATGTGGATGCTGGCGATCAAACCCTGTTTTGCTGTCCCCGGGCCATGACTGACAGTCTTCACCTACAATCCCACACTTACCCGATTGCTTTGTCCATCCTTTTCTTTTCCCAATCTGTCTTGCTGAATTTGCTGAAAGAAGGAATAAAGAAACGAACACTTAGCATTTGACCTGTTCTTGCTCTCTTTGAATGCTTATATTAAACTGTTAACTACATGTAGAGATACATGCAACCCTATCACCACACTAAGCAGTCTGAAGGCATCACTGCTAAACGCAGCAAACGGTACATGCCCGCCTGGTGGCACACATCTGTAATCCTGCCAATCCGCACTTGTATTGTTGCTTTTAGAGTTGATATATTAAAGCTGATTAGTGTTAGATAGCATACATATACATACAGTTAACAGTTTTAACATAAGGCGACGTGGGAAGGTTTGAGGTCTAGGTCAGCCTGGGCTACACGGTAAGGCCTTGACTCAAAAATAAGCAAACTTTGGCAGCGGAGGTACATACAATTTTTAAATTCGTCTAAGTTGGAAAAAGGGGAGTTTTCTCGAGCAGATGGCAAACCACACGCTACAAACATTCATGTAATACACAGCACACAAACACAGAAACGTGGTACAGAATGGACATTTAAACGCGTGTGCTCTCTACTCTGAGCGACTGGTGATGGCGCCAGATCATCGCTGGAACTGTTAACATATTCCTATTTTAAAAGTGTGAGTTCTGACCAACAAACTAGAGAGACACCAGAAGAGTTTTGCCTCTAAAAAAGGTTCATCTTTAAAATGAATTGAATTGCAAGTGAAATTTAAATAATTTGTGAGTATAATTTTTCTCTTCAACAAAGCTTTGAGAGTCCAGAGTGTTATCTAATGTATTACATGGACTCCCGTACCTATGGCTGTTAAATACAATCTTTGTCTGCATTTTAAATGAAAGAAAAGGCCAAGTAGCTGCCACTCACTTGATTACTTATAAGACAGGCCCCAGATAAACAAACAAAAATCAACAGGAGTTACTTGCCTCTTTAAAATCACATCCCTCAAGTTACTTTAGGACTATAAGAAATAGATTAGCATTTTCAAGACATTCTGGTTCACATTTGGTGACTTTCACCATCAGTTTGAAGCAGCTAATACAAAAGCCTCTTTCTCTTTGACTGGACTGCATCTTGAGGGATAAACTAGGTACACACACACACACACACACACACACACACACACACACACATGCAGAGGCCAGTCTTCTTAAGAGAGTTCACAGTTCCTCAAGCTCTCTTTGTCATGGCTGACAAAGGAGCCACGAGTGTGAAGCCTCTGACGACCCTCCCCTTGTTTGAGGATGGATCACTGACAAAATTTATCCCCCTTCAATGGTTATTCAAAAAATATTTTAGGCTCATTATTACTTCCCCAGATCACAGACTATGCAGGGCTTCTGGTTCTGTCTGATCTGGGAAACATGCCTGGAAAGACACACGGATCCTCAGCCAGCTTTAATAGAGGAAGTTCAGAGGCTCCCAGTGCAGAAATATGCAATCCAGAAGATAGAGTTGAAAAGTCACAGAGGCTCGAGTTTTATCATGTGATCAATTAAGAATCAGTGAGATGACTTTAATGTTTTTCTTAAAGTAAAGAAAATGAACTTTTAATATTATAAAAGATTATAAAAGTAAGTTTGGGAAAGTAATGCAATTTAATGAACCTTAGCCAAATGGAACTATGGAGGAGGATAATAGTAACAACAGTGAAATAAACCCAAGTCAACCGATTCCTGAATTTTAAGACTGCTATAATAAAACTTTATGTTTATTTAGCCAATAATAACCAAGTGCTGTCAGGTGGAGGACAAAAAAAAATCTATAAGATGGTAAAATAGAAGGAATCTTTATGAGAAGAGCTGCTATTTATAATAATCAAATTGGAAATACATCAACTGAGGCCAGGAGTGGTGGTTTATAATCCCAGCACTAGGCAGGCAGAGGCCAGTGGATCTCTGTGAGTTTGAGGCCAGCCTGGTCTACACAGTGAGCTCCAGGGCATCCATAGCTATGTAGTGAGACCGTGTCTCAAAAATTTACTAATCGGAAATGAAGTTTTCACTATGCAAAAATATTTCCAAATCAAATGTCCCTTGAGGGAATTAGGTCATGTATGTGAGATGTTCACCTTTTGAAAGGAAGGGATTAAATGTCCTTCAAGACAGGTATAGTTCGGGCTCCTTGGCCTAGATTAGATCAATCTGGCTTTTAGCCTATAAAAATGCAGCCCATAAGTAATCAACCATATTAGATTAAAAGTTGGTGAATGTTTGCCTTTAAAAGTGTTTTTCATAGATCTACTTATTTTAGAAATTCTTTATCTGTTCATTCTAAAATAGAATAAAAGCAAAACACAAAAACAAAGAAAAATACCTTATTTCCTCCTTAGTGATATCCCTTCATGTATTCAGTCAAAGAAAAAAAATCAAGTAAATGCAAGTGAAAATGCAAACACGGTCTTGAACTTTAAAACAAAAATAGCCTTAGTAATCCAAGCCTTTCTCAGTTGGCTTCAACTTCATGCTTCCATTTGCCCTGTATGCCCACACCACACTCCCTGGTCTCTGAACCCTTTCCTTTAGATCTGTCCCTCAGTGTTCACCTTTCAATTTTCCGAAGCACTCTTGACACACACTTTGCTTCAAGGACACCACTCTACACTCTAAATTCTGAAATGCGTATCTGAAGTATTAACCTTCCTGTTTAGCATCCGTCAAAGGGGCTAGCAGGAGCACTTTATGCTTGCTCCCAGTGAGCTGGCTCTCCTGATACTCTTCTCTGTAGATCCACGTGGGAAAGAATATTTACTAATCCGCAAAGCCTAAGCCGTCCTTTGTTTTGAATAGTTACCTGCATTTCGGATGAACAGAGTCGGAGAGGACCTGCTGAGCTACCGTGGCGTCCCGCTCTGCGAAATACCTGCAGGCAGAGGGAAGGAACACCGTGACTGCAGTGCCTGCTCACGGGAGTCACCCGCATCTGGGGGAAGGTCGCTGGGTACTCAGGGCACTGGCAGGGGCCCATCACTCTTCTACAGCCAACAGACTTGAAAACTGAATTATCAACTGTATTATTACCCAGGGAGCCAAGTATGTAACGAAGCATCATAGATGGTTTAGGTTTCTGAAGTGACTCAAGACCTCCAGAGGCAAAAGCCAGAGAGAAGTAACATAGCAAAGAAAAGAAGGAATCCTTGCTCCTCACCCCTCTCCTCCCCTCCCTTCCATTCCCATTCCTTCCCCTTCTGATACACACTCTCTTCCCTTCCTTATTTTCCTTCTGTCCTTCCTTTCTTCTTGTTTTTTTTTCCAAGACAGTACCTCCTGCAGCTCAGGTTGGCATTGACCCCATTATACAGCCAAGGATGAGTCCTGATGCCCTTGCTTCTGTCTCCCAAGAGTTAGGATTACAGGCATGAGCCCAAACGGCCAGATCAAATGGATCTTTCTTAGAAAGCAGTTACACTGTATTTGAATTCTTGGTGATTAGAAAACATCTCACAGAGCTTAGGGATGTTAATAAAAACCAAAATTTTCTGCCTTTTGATGAGGGACTGGTAATGAATTTTTACAATAAACATAAAAACTCACACAACCCTAAAAGTACTTCATAAAAATTATTTGACACACACAGGCAATAAAAGTATAGCAAAGTTGCTAAAGTATGCCTCTGTAACTTATTGTACAAATCTAAGGGGGTACAGGAAAAGTTAAAGCAGCAGTTTTAGATTTATTTGTTTCTTTGGTGTGTTGTGTAGATGTGGAGGTCGGACTGATGGAGCTGGTTCTCTCCTTTCACCATGTAGGTTTCCAGGCTCAAACTCAGCTCATTGAAGGTGGCAGCAGGCAATTATCCCTGCTGAAACATTTCAAGGCCCAGTATTGGTTTTTGTTTTTGTTTTTGTTTTTTTGAGGTACATAACAAAATATGAGCAGTGATAAATAGTACAAGATTTTCATTAACTCTTTTTTTTTGAGTCTAAAAATGATGTTGCAACTTCTGAATTCAGGTCATCAATATAAGAGGGTGTGTTTTGCATGTGCTTAAAGCTTTTCATAATAAAAAATTTAAAATGCATATCTAAGAGCTGCTTTAAACAAGTCTGTTGAAATATAGGCAAGGTGCTGGCAAGTTTTAAAATCATATGAACCTGATTTTCTCTTCAGAGGATATGAATATCTTCTGGCATCTCTTGGAAAGTGATAACTCCTCTTTGCAATTTCAACACCAGAAGACTAGCACGTCGCTTTAATGCCCAACTATTCTGTATTTTACTCACTGTAGATTGTAAAGCCCCAGAAGACCCATTCCTCGGAAATCGGTTTTCGGATCGTCACCTTGGAAACCAATCTCACACCACTGCTTAGAAATCCGAGACTCCAGTGGGGTGTTGGGCTTCAGGAACTCCCATAGCTGGAGGCAGAAGAAAGGAGAACCACTCGGGTATTTACTCACAAGCGCCCGTCTTATTGGTTCAGATCTTGTGAGCTGTAGTCTGACAAGGTGATTTGCAAAGGTGGACACATGCACATACGTTACAACAGCAGTTCCCAGAGGTGACACACCTTTCTGGGTTGGATGATTAAAAAAAAAAAGCAAAAACTGTTATTTCACAATAAGAGAGAGAGGTGATAAGCCTTTACTCTCATCTCGAGAGCGAGCTGCAGAATGCTATTATGGAGTTGCGGCTTTGAAGGCAATGGAAGGCCTGCGTGTATATTATAGTGTTGTAAACTTTTATATTTTGGCTCCTAATTAATGAGATGAACAATATTCGACAGAAATGCTCTTGGGGGGGGTCTCTAAAATATTTAAGAGTACAAAGAAAAAGGAAAATGTTGAGGTCACCTCTTGTTCTACTCCACTGAACCCTTTTCCTAACATTACATTAATATGTTTAAGCATGAACAACATGAATGAAAACCGTAGGAGATGGCCTTGAGTTTTACTTCTTAGGTCTCGCCTGTGGCAGGAGTGAGAACAAATATCATACAGTTAGATGAAGAAACATCGGCATTGTTCACGAGTAAGCCTCAAAATACATTATCATCTTGAAGGGTTGCCTAAAGCAACCTCACTCAAAATCAACTGCAGACCAGTGGGAAATGTAAATTCACAACACTATTCTCCACATTTAGTTTATTATTGTCCAGCTTTTCTGAAGAAAACTAGGTCTGGCACATCCTAATGACAGAGATGGGGAGGCGGGGATTATGATTCATGGTTCTATATAAGAATGTTATGCTTGGAGATAAACGTAGCTCTGAGCCTCCTGATGGAGGTTTCAAGTGCTGGGAATTGAGTTTGGGTCAATTGTGGAAGAACAGGAAGTGCTCTTAACTGCTGAGCCATCTCTCCGGCCCCACAATTATTATATACATCCAAATATTTTATTTCTTTTATTTTATTTCTTTGTGTGTGTGTAGTAGTTATACATGTTAATGTGGGTGTGTGTTGTGGACATGTGTGCACATTTGAGTGGGGCCAGAGGTTGGTATTGAGAGTCTCCCTCAATTGCTTTTTATCTTACTTTATTATTATTATTTTTAAGATAAGGACTCTCTGTGGACCTGGAGCTCGCCAATTCAACCCGTCTAGATGGCCAGTGAGCTTCAGGGAGCTTTTGCAGCTTGAAACTGCGGGTCCTCACGCATGTATAGAGAGCACGTGGCTGACGGTCTTTTCTCTAGGCACCAGTACCGCAGTCTCTTCTTCCTAGTTCAGGAATAGTTAGACTTCCAAATTCTCTATTTTATATTACAGGAATCTTAAAGCTTCAACAGAATGGCAATCCAAAATTGTCTTGCTTTATTATCACGTATCGGGCACAGCACGAAGCATAATAACTGATGGCAGAGAACACGAGCAGGTGAAACTCCGCACTTCAGTGGCAGAGAGATGGCCATGAGGTAAAGCGCTTGCTCCGCAAGTGTGAGGACCCCAGGTTGATTTCCAGAATTCGCACAAATGCTTGGAGTGACGGCTCAAGCTTTTAATTTTTTAGTTCTGGGATGTAGAGAGAGAAGAGAAAACTCTGGAATTCGCTAGTTCCAGGTCAATGAGACACACTGTCCCCAAAGAGCAAAGTGGGTGGTTTCTGAGGTTGACATCTCAACTCCACAGTCACATACACAAACGTGCACATGCACCCACGCTTGTGCATGAGCGTGGACACACACACACACACACACACCCAGCAGTTTACCTTCATGTACTGTGGTTTTTATAGACACACTCTAATATATTTCTTCTTCGTAAGAATCAACATTTATGCTGGTGTCACAGCATATCAGTTCAACATATCTAAAGGTATAGAGACATCAGGCGTGATGGTGCACCTGAAATCATAGCACACGGGAGGTAGAGGCAGGCAGGTGGATCAGGAGTTCGAGGTCAGCCTTGGTTACACAGTGAATTAAAGGCCTGGTTTAGCTGAGCTTATAAACTGGCCCAGTAAACCCTGTGCATGAGCTTTCTGGCTACTTTGGGCATCGAGCTGTGTGAACTCTGCTGTGACTACTTCCTTCTCTCTTTGTAGCAGGACAGCAGCCAGGGACAGCAGAAACACTTGCTCATGGCTATGTGACCATAAAACACGAACAAAAATGGGTTGCAGGCCAAAACTGGCCCATGTGCTTTTGATGACTCTTGTCCTAAATAATTTTGTGGACTAGGAAGCAGGGCATCACCACCCATCTTAAAGATGAAGCTTGAACTGGGGCAACTAGACACCGACATCGGCCAGGCTCTGCAGACACAGGGGTAGGCTGGGCACGGTTTCCTCTGAGCAAACAGTGCAGCGCAGCCTGGGAGCCTTTTCTAGCGAAGTGAGCTTGCACGGTCACTTAAGGGCTCAGCCTCGGTTTTCTCACCCCCATCTCCAAATGACGATAAAAACAGTGTATCAGCACAAGGCTGCTGTGAGAATTACAATGGAGAACTCCGTGCAGAATTTACTGTAGTGATTGGAGCACAGCAAACATCCGGCAGGTGTTTCAGCATTATGAAAGGTTCGAGACTATTTCAAAATCTGGTGAGTAAGGCTTTTAAAAGCCAGGTGGCTTCTTCCCTGAGAATAATGAATAGCAGTGGGAACAATGAGCAAATTCCTGGGCACTTGGGTGGCACAGCCTGGCCTGTGTTATGGGGAGAGGCTCTGTATGTAATGGCCAAGGATGCAGAATTTGGAGCTAAGAGATTCACTGGGAAGGGGCAAAAGGGCAGCTCTGGGCAATATGGACTCTGTACGATAGCACACAGGAAAACTGAGGATGTTTTGTTTTGTTTGAGGAAGGATCTTTCATACAGCACAGACTGACCTTTAAGCCCCAATCACCTTTGGCCTCCTCCGAGCTGTACTAGTGTCTAGGGACTAACATGGCTAGACTTGTCTCATAAAAACCTCTCTGTCAGCATTTAGAAGATGAAGGAAAGAGTCTAATGGCCAGGGTGGCGCACACCTATAATCTCAGCATTCTGGAAGCTCGGGAAGGAGGATTGCCACAAATTCAAGGACAGGCTTGTCTACATAATGAGTTCAGGACCAAGTCACAATGACACAGTGAGACTTTGCCTCAGAACAAACAAACAGTGCCAAAGCCAATGGTTTGTTATTTGCTAGATATGTGGTACTCAGATAGTCAGAACCTGAACTAAAATGAATGTAGTTTTCTCATCTTTAAAGTAATCATTACCTGATTTGTTTTTTTAAGATTTTAATTAATTTATTTATTATGCATACAGTGTTCTGCTTACACGTACTCCTGCTCGCTAGAAGAGGGCACTAGATCTCATTATAGATGGTTGTGAGCCACCATGTGGTTGCTGGAAATTGAACTCAGGACCTTTAGAAGAGCAGCCAGTGCTCTTAACCTCTGCCATCTCTCCAGCTGCCACTATCTGATTCTTTAGCCATGACATCAGAATGATAGCATGTACAGCTTCAAATCATCACCACTGATAGAAGTTGACAAATCATTCGAATGTATCTGAAGTGCATTACACTGGCTAAGACAAACTCAGAATTAACAGACAGGACTTGGGTGCCTGCTATGTGCCATCTTTAGCTGGTCTTAACATGTAGCTAAGTGTGATAGCTAACCTTGGCTGTCAACTTGATGACATCTGGAATTAACAAAAACCCAAGCATCTGGGCACACCTGTGAGAGAATTTTCTTAGATGGATCTTTTGAAGTGGGAAGACTCACCTCTTCTGGTGGCAGCCCACATAAAAGGTCATGGAAGAAGGACGCTTTTGCTTTTTTGCCTGCTTGTCCTCACTCTCACTGGCAAGTTCATCCATCATGTGTCTGAGCCTTTGTTGGTGCTGGAACCAATTGTATCAACTGCTTCATGATTTCAACACAGACCGAGAATTGGCAGCTCTCTAGGAATTCCCTGGGACTCCAGCACCAGATTGGAACTAATGAGACATCGGTTTTGTGGATTAAACAGCTATGAGATCTATTCAGGAGACGGCCATTATTGGACTGTGTGAGCCATAGCTGGGAAGCCTCTCTAACAAATCCTCCTTTAATATCTACATGTTCTATTCTGTTACTTTAAAAAATCTGACTAATACATTAAGAAGCTACAACAAGTCATGCATTTGTCTGTCTCTCTTTCTCTCTGTCTGTCTGTCTCTCTCTGGACACCTACTATAAGCCAGCTCACAGTTGAGACTAGCCTCATAGCAGGCACACAAATGTCATTAGCTAATTTTGAGTTTATCTTAGCTACTGGGAAGCATTTCAGACCCATATAACCAGGCTGTTAATTACACTGATTCATTTCAGTTTCATTCACCTTGAACCTGGCTATTAAATCATTTTTCTGGGTTTGAGAGGCTCCACAGAAAACAGTCAGGGCGACTGGCAACAGGGGAAGGCAGAACTCAGGTAGGAGGCTAGCTAAATCAGCAGGAGAGAAAGCCAAGGAGGAATGCCAAGAATGAAGTGTCTTCAGTTTTAAATGATCACTTCAGATCCAGCATTAATTAGTAGCGACAAATGAATCACCACCTTAAGCATTTGCATACACAGAAACACGCACTCTTTCACACAAAACACAAGACGCAGTAAAAAAAAAAACTTCATCTGTTGACATTCTTTGGTTAAACAAAGGTAAGGCAGAAAAACAAATGCTTCCTTCTGTTTTTTTTTTTTTTTTTTTTTAGATATTTTTAATTGCGGATATTCGTGTATCTATGTACGACACACATACATGAGTTCAGGCTCCTGAAGAGGCCAGAGAGGACATCAGATCCCCTGGAGCTGGAGTTCCTGGCGGTTGAGAGCTACCTGAGGTGGGTGCAGGGAACCCATCTTTAAGCAGCAAGCTCTCCAGCCCCTCCCTCCAACCCTTCCCCTAGGCTTGTCACTGCTTATTGGATTTTTAGGAAGAGACAAAAAAAAAATCACTTGATGTCAGAAGAAGAGCATCTATTTTCAGAAGCAAATGTCTACAAGATTTAATTTGATTATTCCAAATATCGGTCTGAGTGTTATTGTTTGGACTTTAACTTCCTCCTATCTTGGTGTTTTTTGGAAAGCTTTAATTGTTGTTTGATGGAGACTCGGTATCAGAGCTCATAAGATTTGAAGCAAGGAGTGGTTACAACTCCACATTACTTTCTTGGCAGTTTTAATGTGCCAAGTATAAACCTTTACTGCCTCTTTGAATATTTGCCAAGTCACATGAATAAATAATCAGCACAAGGATCTTTGGTAATTTCCCCAGAGGGCTATCACTGAAGCAGAAACCAACCTCGTTGTCTTTGATGTGTATTAAAGTTGTAAGTAAAAACCCCACGACATGCTGACAAATGCTCTCGTCTCTCCAACAGCTTTCAACACATTTGAAACAATCCAAGCTTGAGCCAAGTGTAAGGTACCCCTCCCCCACAGAAATCACCTCTGATGTTTTCTCAGTTTATGAAAGTTGACAGGTTTTAAAGTTAACTTCTTATATGAACTTTCTGATGAAAATTATATGTATACACACACACACACACACACACACACACACACCTCCAACCTATAAGCGAACTCAGACTTGCCAATCTGCACAGAGCCCAAGTCTTCCTCACCTTTGTGTCCTCGGATGACCACCTGGCTGAGTGCTTGGTGGGCATCAGCTGACCCTGGGGAGGGACTCACCTTCAAAAGCATCTCTTCATGCTGAGGGTTGTCAGAATCATAGGGTTCCCTGCGCAGCTTTTCCACATCTGCAATGAGGTTCCTGTATCCCACAATCTGCAGAAGGCAAGCCTGGAGGGAGATCCCCAACCTACAGTGCAGAAGAAGCGAGAGAGTGTTAGAGACGAGTGGACCCACGTGCTGTTGGCATTTGCCCATTTGATGCTTATAGGACAGAACATTTTTTTGTTTGATTTGTTGTTGTTATTGTTTGGTTGGTTTTTCGAGACAGAGTTTCTCTGTGTAGCCTTGGTTGTCCTGGACTCTCTCTTTTAGAACAGGCCTCAAACTCAGAGATCAGCCTGCCTCTGCCTCCCTGAGTGCAGGAATTACGGGTGTGTGCCACCACGCCCGGCTAGGATAGAACTTTTAATGTAAACATTTTTATGTATGTGTTCAGGAATATATATTCATTATTCCTTTTTCTCCTTCTTTGTTTAGTTTCTCCAGACAAGGTCTCATGATGCAGTCCAGGCTGGCCTAGAGTACACTCCATAGCCCAGGCTGGCCTCAGATTCATGGCAATTTTCCTGCCTCAGTTTCTCATCATGCCTGCTTGCAAGCACAACTCTTGCTGAACTGCGAAAAAATCCTTTTTCCTTCATTTTAGCTTTTTTTTTTTAAGTGCAAGTGCAACTATTTGGCTTAAACAGCAACAACGAATGAGGGAAGCCTTCAGGAAGGTGGTCTGAGAGTACGAGGTGAAAGCAGACCTAACAATAGGTTCTTTGGGACCGTTTAGATGGGTACATTAGATCTGCTTCAAAAGTCTGTGTCTAAGAGAGGGAGAAAGGAAGAGAAGGAAAGAAGGAGGGAGCCATCAGGGGAGTCAGGACAAGAAGGTTTTCTGTACAAAATAAGAGGAACAAAGGCAGCAGCGGTGGCTGTGGGGAAGATAGCATTGGCACCATCACCTCTGTGCAGTGACTCAAGAGAAGAGGGAATGGCGCAAAAGGGGTCCCCCTTCACAGCAATCCTGTCCATCGTCTCTGGACACGCCCTTCTGTGGAAATATAATCTGCTTTGTGTACCACCAGGTGGACCAAATTCTGCGCATCTCCAGAACAGACGCATCTCCACCATTCCCCCGCTAGGCCCACTTATTTCATGATATCTTTGAGTCTCATTTCCAGGTCTAGGGGGAAAAGAAACCCCCCAAACCAGCCCTATGCCTTCAATTTCCTCCCATGGGGCATGGCTTCTGCTGTGGACGCACAGCAGACTGAATATATACATTTATGCCTATACATGTATGCCAATAATAAGTCAAGAGAAAAGAGCCATGGAAATGATGTAATTATATTTTAATTAAAATGTTTAAACATTTAGTAAAGATCTATTTATTTATTTATTTATTTAGAGAGTGCACGTGTGTGTGTGCGTGCGTGTGTGAATGAGTTTATGTTCACCATGTGCATTCAGGGGCCTGCAGAAGCCAGAAGAGGTCTCAGATACCTTGGCACTGGAGTTACAGGTGACTGCGAGCCCCTATGTGGGTCCTGGGGACCAATCCCAGGTTCTCTGCAAGTGTTCTTAACTGCGGAATCCTATTTCCAACCCATGAAAGAAGATTTTAAAACTACAGTTACCACGCAGTTAGACCAACCTTAATGTCTGAATGAGGGAAAGGTACAGCTTCATAGCTGACAAGACCGCAGAAAGATGTTATAGAGACCAGGAGGAAATGGAGGTAATAGCTTTTTTTTTTTTTTTTTTTTTAATTGAAGTCCCAGATAGATCAAGACATAGAGCAGTCTTGAAGTTCCCTTTAACTCTGGCTCCATCTTTGCTAATTAACAGTCTTTCTCAGCTGTGACATCTGAAGTCCTCATGCACACAGATCTCAGAGACAGTTTGATTGTTGCCTACCCCAAAGTGTCTCTAAATATACCTGCATTTAGAATTTATTCCATCTAATGCCTTTAAGGTCCAAATTTTGCTGAAAAATTGCTTCACCCAATGGAAAACATAAAGCTAAATTTAAACGTCACGAACACTGCCAAATTCATTTTAATATTTCCAAGATGAGGGGAATAAATTATAAAGTTCTAAAGTATTCATATAAAAAAAACATCTCTTCCTCCCACACATGCCTGTCTTCTTGACAGGCAGGTAGGAACTGTCTCTAAGATTATCAGCCCAGCATGATGAAATATTCATGAGGGAGCTTAAGAAGTATTTCAGAGGGAGCAGAATCAGCATAAGACACTTATGTTTTGAACATGCGCAATCAATGTAAAGTACAGACATCACGCGATGTCCTGCTGATGAATGGGCTTCCTCGAGTTTTATGGTTTGGTATCAGCAAGTACACCCCCTTTTCATTCATGGCAACAGAACCACAAGCTCCCAAACCAGAAGCCTAAAGTCACTGCCATCTACAAACATGAGGAGCCCCTATTTTTATTTACTATTCATCTGAAAGTCAAAACACAGAAGATGTGGTCACTTTAAAGAGAAAGAAGAGAGAGAGGTAGCCATGTGATTTGTTCTCTGTATTTCTCACACACAAATCCAGTTCTTACTGTGGATTGATGTCAGGGTTAATCTTTTTCAGTTCCATGATGTCATCAATAGTCTTTTCGATTGCATCTGGGTGAACGCTCACTGATGTCTGCAACAGCTGGAAAACATCTTTCAGTTAGTCTCTGTCATTAGCACCAGTGGCTTAAATGATACCTCTCGGGACGGAGGCATCAAGTGCTACACTTCTGTAGGCGCGAAAGGCACGAAAGGCAGCCTGCTGTAATGTGCTTGAATTCCAGCGCATTCTGTGTTTCCACGGCTGGAGCAGGGCCACTCTCCTAGTTGAGGCATTTGACATAAAGCAGGCACACACAAGGCTTGCATTTTGCTTTGTTCTTTACCGTTGCCGTCTGTTTTAAGCTATTTAGGTTTCCATCATGGTTTCCTTTCCCCCTGGTAGACTGAGGCGCCTTGGGTCATAGTCTAGACCTTCGGTTCTCCCACTTCTGACGCTGCGACCCGTTAATACAGTTCCTCAGGTTGTGGGGGCCCCTAGCAACAGAAGCCTTTTCGTTGCTACTTCCTAACTGTAATTTTGCTACTGTTAAAAGGGATCATAATGTAAATATCTGTGTTTTCTGATGTTCTTAGGTGACCCCGTGTTAAGGTCATTCAACCCCTAAAGGGGTCAGAACCCCCAGGGTAAGAACTGTTGGTCTAAAGGTTGCCAAAGTTAAAGAAGATGAGATCAAATTACCAAAAATCTTGCAAAGTAAAGCATTTCTCCCTTATGTAGAGAGTCAGCTGTGTGTACTAGTTTTAAAAGACATTTCTTTTAGTTTCCGAGTGTGGGTGTTCCGCCGAGCACGTCTCTGCACCATGTGTGTGCACTTGGATGTCAGTAGGCAGTTACTGACGGCTGTGAACCCTGTGGGTGCTGAGAGTCCCACCTGGGTCCTCTGAAGAGCTCCTAATCACTGGGCCCTCTCCTCAGCCCTGTGCACTATCTTTGCAGTTAATACAGTGGCTTCTCTCTGGCTTCATTGGAAAATCTCAAGTATAAAGTCAAGTGGTTTGATTACTGTGGAAATACTGGCCAGCTAATGCTATCAACGCACCCTATTTTGTGGTATGAGAGGTGGTAGAGAGAGAGTTAATTCAACATTTTTCGTTCTTGAAATTTTCTAGTTTTCATTGTTTCAACATTTTTTTTTTTAAATTGCACCGTGTGTCCGTCTGTGTGGGGTGCGCACTCTACACAGCATGGGTGGAAGTCAGAGGGCAGCCTGAAGGAGTCGGTTCCTCCAGGTGGGACCTGGGGATCGAACCCACATTGGTGGCAGCTGCCTTCACCGGCTGAACCCTCTCACTGTTCCACAATTTCTATGTTCTATCATAGAGGTCAGCCCCTCAGTGAAAGGTCATTGAAAAACAAGGAAACGAGTTTATTTACCTTACTTTTTGAATCCCTCAGTGACGTTTCTGTTAAAGCAATAACACACAATGTCATTAGAAATAACGTGTAATGAGTGTTTGGATGTTACTCACTGAAACGTGACATCGCATCCTCAATCCCACCAACTCTGCCTTCTGCCCTCCCTCTCGCCCGGTGCTCACCAATTTTCATGGTTCTAGAAGCTCCAGGTTTGGTGCTGTAGCAAATCCTCTGCAGTTCACACCTTCCCGTGAGCTTCCGCATCACAAACTTCATGCAGCGCCACAAAAACTTACAGTAGAAATATAGGCACACCTGGATCAACATCCTGTGGGGAACAAAAGACAGCACCCTTCCGATAGAGAGCTGGGAGAGGACAGAAAGCAGCCGCCACCAGCAAGCAAAGAAGCCGGGAAGAAAAACCAGCCGTTAGATTGCTGTGTCCACAGGTGCTCTTTCTGCCACTCCTGAGAGTGACGGTTGCTATGGCTACACGCCGAGGGCAAACCCCTGAGATTCTTTTCCTACCATCTTTGTCTAAAAGATTTTGGAAACCAAGCAGTGTCAACGTTGCCTCTGCCTGAGCCACGGGGTGGGGGTGGGGGGTGCCTCCTCTTGCTCGGGGGAATGGCTGCTCAGTTCCCCCCTCACCCCAACCACCACCTCTGCTCAGTTCCCCCCTCACCCCAACCACCACCTCCAGCCATTCCTCAGGGCCCTCCACTCCGCCCCACTGTTGGCATTTTCTCCCTTCCTCTCTCCCAACCTTCCCTGTCTCCCGATGCTTCCCCTTGCCCTCTGCCGCCCTCTGGCTGCGTGACTGTTGAGCAATAGCATGCCTTGCCTCTGTCCTAAAGCTTCCCTGTCCATGTGGAGGAGGCACTTTTGACCTTTCATTTCTTCCTCCAACAGGACAATGTTCTCTGATTTAAACTTTTCAGAATCTCTGCATCTACTCCCGGTTCCTTCTAAGCAATGTGTTCTTTATGGTAGACTCCCAACCCACTCCTGAGGTACCTCAGCAAACGGGGGTCATGTTGTCTCTGAGTGTCTGTGCGTTTGCCCGTGACTGAACTCGTGGCTTGTTTTTTACGTGGATTTCTGATTTTAAAATGGAAGTGCCTGCTACTGTATGTTGTTGTTTAGAATGCCACAGTTCCTCTTGCTTTAGAGACAATGACAACCTGTCACCCAGAAGGCTGTGTTCAGCCCATCTCTTCACATTGTGCTCCTAGGAGACAGAATTATTCCTATTACTTCCCGTTGCTATCATTTCTAAGCGATTTTTTTCTTCAAATATTCTCTGATTCTCTCTAGTTCCAAAATAAGGGTTTGGGGGCTATTAAGATCAGTTGCAATGGTTAACAATGTGGTCCATTTAGTCAACTAATTCTTTGGTCAAATTCATGTGTTGGAATTGTTCCAGTTTTAAGTCATCAACACCCTTGTGTTAAAAGTAAAGAGTCTAATGTGTACAAAGGCACAGAGTTTAGATCTTATAAACACAAAGGAAATGGTGTCAAGAGAGCACCGTATCCAACCTGCTCCACAAACGGAAACAATGGAATACTTTCACAAGCAAGCAATCACGCCCTAGGCCAGCCAGTAACATCAAAGGGCTCCTGACATTCACCTAAGAGAAGAAACTGCACAGATACACATGCGATGGCCTACATTTTCTCTAAGAAACAAAACAATTTTAATAGTGATATGGAAACAGCGGGAGGGGCTGGCAGGGTACATGCTAATAGGGTTTATTGCTAAACATCGGAGTCGTCAGCAGCAATTTTTTTTCTTGATTTACTAAGTGCATTTTCTTTCATAAATATAGTTAAAAAACATGGAAATGACAGAAGGCTCAATTTGTATAAAACGATCACCAGAAGTCATTTCAGGAAATGCTTTTTCTGTGTACAGCCAGTTACTATGAAGTCAACTGTGTGCGGCACTCACTACATTATCAAGCCTGACATTTAAGTGTTCAAGTCAAATACATTCTAAGCTCTGGTTGGATTCGGGTTAACAGCTTTCAAAAAAAAAAATAAGTTATCCTAAAATTAAATTCAGTGGAACGTTTTAATTAGGCAAGTGAGATGATTATAACTTCAATGTGCTCGTTTGGAAAATGAATGCTACTTTCTAACTATTGGATGGCCATTCCAGGAGAAAAGAAAACGAAAAGAAAGGCGAGTTGTATCTTGACTAGTCTCCAGCCAAACGGCAACGGCAGTCATCCTGGGATGCATTGCTTCTGTTACAAAGGAAAGGAGGAACTCCAGCAGATCCGGTCAGTTTCCAGGGTTCAGCGGCAAACGGCCTCAGCGCGCGGCAAAGCCCCTGCCCTCCCCGCAAGTCGGCATCAGGACTCTAGACCTCGCGATCCCGAGGGTTAAAGGGCTCTGGAAATTGCTAATGGAGTGCTGTGGTTTAGAACTTGAATGTCCTCCGATGGCCCATGTGTTAAAGTCTTGATTCCTAGGGCGGTACTATTGGGTGTGGTGAGATCTAGCAGAAGATCCTTTCCTGGGGTCCATCTGTGACGGGGATCCTGTCCCTTTCCTTCTCCTCTTGCTTTGTGGTCACAGGTGAGCAGCTTCACTCCTTGAGTACTTCCGACCTGGATTGCTGACTCCCCACAGGCCCGAGTGACAGGACACAGCATTACCTCAAAATTATGAGTCAAGTGTATCCTTTCATTTGAAGCTGCTCTCAGGTATTGATTACAGCAAGAGACGCTTTTATTTTTCTTCTAAACACATGGAGCTCTATGCAGTCACTCTACCCAGAGCAGAGGCGCTGGCCATTTCATAGCTTAAATCAAACCCCAGCATCTCTCCCCTGTGACTGCTGCGTCAGGCCAACACACAGGTGTGGCTTGAGACTTAGAAGTGTCATCCTAGGTGTCACGAAGCGTCTATCTGTAGAGTGACTAGAGCCTGGGTTTCACTTATCATTTCTCCCCCAGGTCTCCTTGTATTTCAGAAGAAAATGCCTGTGTGGCTTTTTACATAATAGGAGAGGGAAAAAAAAATAGACATCATTTTCTGTGTGAGTTTCTTTCTCTCTCTTTTTCATACCGCCAAGGATATTTACATTGTCAAAAGTAATGGAATGCAGCAGAATGGCATGGTGGGCTCAGGATGAAAGCATCACTCTGAAGACGAGCCAGAAGACTACGGCGGCCCTTTCCCACAGTCGGGTAAACCACACAGCAGGCCGTGAACGAGAAACTCCCAATGAACTGGCTCTTGCATGCTACCTACTCTTTTGTAAGCGTCGTGCACACAGTCTTCATAACACTATTTGATATCCAAGGTAAATTTAAATGTTCACTCACTGCCCCACCTTTTTTTGAAGGGAGCAAAGTTTGTTTTAAAGGCTTAAGTATTTTCTGTGTGTAAGTGTGCCAGCATGTGTGTTTGTGTGCCACATACACACCTGGTACCTGCAAGCTCAGAAGAGGGAGTTGTCTCCCTGCAACTGGAGTTAGGGATGTATATGAGCCATCAGGTGGGTGCTGGGAGCCAGACCCAAGTCCCTGCAAGAGCTCTAAGTGTTCATGACTGACTGCTGAGCCATCTCTCCAGTCCCTTCCCTATTTTTTTTTCTAATGAGCCAACATACACAGACATTTCATTTAAGTCCAGCTTGCTATTCTAAATACTATCTTTAAAAACTCCACATCTTCAGATCAAGCAACATCTTGACAGACATAATCTATTTTGTGTTTAGTGCATAGGCCTGGTCTAGGCAAGGCATCCTTGGAGGTAGAAGATCAGAGCACTCCCTGCATTGGCAGTCCTATTTTGAGGACAGTAACTAAATCCAACAATCTACCCTGCAGAAGGAACGAACCAGCAAAACTCCCATATGCCTGGCTTTCAGTCCCAAAGCTATGAAGTTCATGAGGGAAACTCTTCATCATCAAAAGAACAAATTCTAAAATGGTGGAAGGTCTTCTGAGATTGTTAACTGTTTGACATATTACTCCGAGAAGAAAGTAATTAAGAAACGGACACAAGAATATGTTTTTCCTTTTTGATTGAGGAAGGAAAGAGAAAGAGAGAGAAGGGGGGAGAGAGAGAATGGAGAGGGAGGAAGGGTTTGTCTAGTTTTTCTCAGGGTTAGTAACATCCCATCATGCTTTATGCCCTTAGGTTTAAGAGGAGGCGTTACAGATACACCCACGGGACAGATCTCCTTTGCCTTCTTTTTCATGGTCACTCATTCTGTTCTTCTGTCTCTCCTTTCACCCTTGACTCATGCTCAGGGGGCTTCTCCCAGCCTGAATCAGCAACCGATAAAGGCTTAATGTTAAGGACATTTGCTTTTCCCCATTCACTCCTGGTAAGTCTGCTAGATTTTGTAGGAATTCTCAGGACTAGAAGGTGAAGATTCTGATGGTCACCCACGCACAGGCAGCAGAGCTTTGCACTTGCTTCTGACGATGCTCCAGAACAAGCTGCTGTAGCCTCTGGGCAGGACTGCCTTGCCGAAGCACAGCAAGACTCATAATAAGAGCTGCTGTGTCTCCCATTCCCAAAAGTCTCTGCTACTGCTGTTTATTAACACACTGTGGAGTGGGGTTTTATGGCTGAGTTCACAGCAGTGTTCTTCCATAAAATAATTATGACTACATTTGCTATTGAAATTTACTCTCTAGCCTGAACCATCCAGTATAAACATCCAGAATAAATTATTGAAAATGAATCATATCCTTGTCACCAAATAAAAGCGAACTCCTGTCTAGCCTGCCTCATTAGAGGAACCCTGTCAGCAGGAATGGGCCTCAGGAAGAGAAGAGTCAGCAAGAGTCCGGTTGTGCCTTGCCTGAGGATGGGGGGGGGGTACCTGTGTTGCACACTACGCCATCATCTTAAATTTGGGGATCTGATGTCTTCATTTGAAATTATAAGAGAAAAACAGGCTTAAAAATAGTTTCATTGAATGTGCTAATGAAAGTCAGTTCTTGCTTGAAGAAACCCTGCAATAAACAAGAAGTAGACTCTTGGTGAGAATTGAGAATATCCAAAGGGGAAATCATTGCTTGGCTCAAATCACAGTTTCCCACATGAAATACCGGTGGAAATGAGCGTTAAGCGCAGCAACTCACCCAACACTCCCAGCATCACAGACACACTCTAAAATGGCTCTGTGGTTGTTCTCGGTTAAAGGAACTAGCAATTGGTGTGGAATTAATGTGGCAAAAGCTGCTTGCCCTAGCGAGGCAGGCCCTTTCCTCCATAAGATTTCAAAGAGGAAGAGAGAGTCACAAGATTTGATACGTGAGCTGGAATGTGGAATCACTCTTGGAAAATCAAACCAAAC